CCTTAAAGGAACAGCTCAACATTTTTGGAACTGGGCTTATTTGCCTTCTTAAAGCAGGGGTTAACAACTAGCCTGGCTCTGACCAAAGTGAAAAGACATGCCTACTGTACCAAAGCTCACTAGCAAACACAGTGTATTTTGTTTGTTTAATACGTACACAAACAGAACTGTAAAAACAACAATTTGTAGTTTTACAGACTTACGTATTGCAACAGTTTTTTGATGAACGTCACCCTTTCTATCCCGTTGCACGTTTCCAGGCCAACAACAATGCAGCAGTGTGCCTGCTGTATCTAGGCCGTCTGAAGGAGTCCCTGGGCCAGCTGGAGGGCCTGGTGCAGCAGGACCCCGCACTCTACCTCCACGAGAGCGTTCTATTCAACCTGACCACTATGTACGAGCTGGAGTCGTCTCGCAGCACCCAGAAGAAGCAGGCTCTGCTGGAGGCCGTGGCCTGCCGGGAGGGGGACAGCTTCAACGCACAGTGCCTCAAATTGGTTTAAGGGGCAAGAGGGTGAACTGGGAGAGGACACACACACTAATTCTCCTTCAGTGTGACAGGAAGTAAAAACCCCAAAAGTAGAATCTGTAGAGAACGCTCAGAGATTTTGGTGACAGAAAAGTGAATGTTTAGTGCTTGGCTTGGTTTCCCAAAATCAAGTTTTATTCTTACAAAACAGATGTGGGAAGGCGAGCCCAGATACACATTTCCCTTTGTGTCCTTTTGAAGAGTGACCCTGTAAGGATTTACACATTTCCTTACACACTGTTGGATTCTGGAAAGGAAATGGGCCTGCAGAAGTCCTGTGTGTTGAGTTGATTAAAAGTAGTTTAACGTTTTTTGGAAATTCACTTATTTGCTTTCTTGTTACAAGTCAGATGAGAGGATTGATACCACTCTCATGTCTGTACCGTAAATATTAGGCTACACCTAGCCGGCAGTTAGCTTAGCATAAAGTCCAGCTCTGTCCAAAGGTTAAAAAACATTAATCTAGTCTCGAGGGACCTCATGGCGAGGGTCACATGGCCGAGAGGGGTACATCACTAGCACTACCAGTAGCGAGCTAACCTGCTAGCATGTTTACTGCCAACGGTGAGCTGTTATTACAATGTTGTCTTATAGGCCACACTGACTGTGGGTTTACGATGGTGTTTTATTATTATTTTATGTTACAGTGGACACATTTCAGCTTTTACATTGTTTTTACATACACTCTTCGTTAAGTGATATATTCTTCGGTGAGACATGGTGAACAGAACTGATGAAAGCCTTCACTGGATGTGACATATATATGAAAGAAAGAGGGCGACATTTGTGATAATGCAATTGTAATACAAACAAGTCCTCAAAATCTGATCAGCTGAAAGCTATAGCATTAATATTCATGAAGGATATATATATTTTGTAGAGGTTGTCTTGTTACCGGTTTTTAGTTTGCTTCTCTCATAATCTTTTTTGGAATTTTGCATCAGCTATATTTGAAGCAGTTTTAGAAACTGCTTTGTCAAACAAGGTTGCAGGTTGTTTTTTAGGGACAGCTGTATTATGCGTTTAGCAGTTTCCCCCTGCTTCCAGTCTTTGCGCTAAGTTGAACATACAAGGAGTTTTTAACTGGTTATGAAACTCATTTGAATACTGATGCCTCTATATGACCCAGTGAGAAGATTGAATCAAATCCGGTGGCAGGCATTAAGAATAACTTATAGAAGTAGCCAGTGAGATTCCCTTTGAAATCAATGAAACGAGGCGGTAGAAACACTACCGTTTTTGTCCAGAGGGGCCGCCACAATCAACACAAGGTCAAAGTTCCTTATAGGGCATTTAAGTTAACCAGCTGCTAGCTCAAGCTTCATAATTAGTGCGCAGACATGAGAGTGGTATTGATTTTTTCAACTCAATCTAAATAAAAGCAAATAAGAGTATTTCACAAAAATGTCAAACTATTCATCTAACGTTTATTTTTACGAGAAAAATCCTAGAGATGAATCATCAAATTAAGCACAGAGACTGGAGGAGAGAGCTCAGAACCCAGATGTGCATTGCTCCACAGACAGGTAGTGGTTTTAAGGGAGTCACAGGCTCGTCGTGCGAGACTTGACACGGGCATTATCCTAAGATTCAGTGTGCTTAAAGACTAATAAACTAGCACAGAGGTCCAAAGCTTCTTCCTCAGCAGACACCAGTAATACTGGATTAACAAAGACCACTCCATTTCAGCTGCCAGGTTTATAACTCATGCAGTGAAAATAAAAAAGCCCTTCAGATTGCATCGCATCCTGTTCACTAAACAAAAATGTAAAATATTAGGAATCCAAAATTGTACATATCAGAGAAGCTGATTTGTTGATTTCTTTGTTTAAATGATTATATCAAATATCATTATCTTGTTAAATCTTTTAGTGATTGTCCTGGTGGATCTTTAATTATCACTGTTTACATATTGTGTTGATCATATTTATGTTTATTAAAAAAGAAATTGTTTTATCCCAAATAAAACTTATTTTAAATCAACATGTGTGATTTAATGGAAAGATGAGACAAAACACAGATTTAAAATAGCAGCTTTATTTTTCATTGAACAAAAAACTATATGTATATATATATATCTGTCAGTCTGGTTGGTTGAGTAACATCTCACTTCTGATTCAGAGAGATTTGAATATGAAATTAGAAAAAACTACTTAATGGTGGCATGATTCATTTTTAGAACATGCTGTTGAGGGCAAGTCTGATAGAACCTAACACAACAAATTAAAGAGAATAAGGCACTACAGATTGTCCTGTGGCAAAGTATTCAGACCCTAAACTTCAATGATTCTTCATTATAAGTAGAAGTCCTGCATTCACAATTTTACTTAGCAAATGTACCTATGAATTATTTTCAGGTATGGAAAGCAAAAGTACTCATGCAGAAAGACTCCTTTAAAATGTTCTAGAAGTATTATTATTATTATTATAGCATTATTCCTGTTGTAGTAGTTCCTGTATAGCTGTCAAATGTAGTGAAAGGTACAGCATTTTCATTACCACTGAGATTGTCTACATGTAGGCTACATCGTCTCATTCACTTGGTGCAGAATCTGACTGCTCTGCTACAGGAGAACTTTAATCATACATTTCTTCACATTGTCACTGTAAACCTAATCACATTAGAAGCCCTAATTCGAGTATAAACAGTGGTCATATGGAATCAACTTTGTAACTGGAGTTGTGTGTTGCAGCTCGCTCTCAGGATTCCTGCAGAGAAGCCAAATACTTCTGGCGGATTTCAAAGTCATCAGCGGGCCGGTTGTACGCCTTCCACACAGGCTCCCCCACAAACAGCCTCATGGCTTTAGTGTAGTTCTATAGACACAAACAACAGTGCTCAGATCAGTAGGAGTGTCAGTTCTGCCTCCCTCGTGCAAGAATTCATCATTTGGTGCTGCACGGCAATAAAAACAGATTGTTAGCTTACAGACACCAATTCATTTAGCCAGCCGGTAGCTAATGAATCAGCTGCTGCTGAGTGAGAAGAGGAACCCTGTTTGGACCTGGTATTAACATGTGTCTTGTGTCTGTCAAGTACTGGTGAGAATGCACTCAAGACGCATTGAGATCCGATCAATCAGACCACATTCTTTTAGCAGTGTGTGCAACGTGCCCTGGGCTACACTGAAGGACCACCTACTCAATTGACGTCCGTTACACACAAAACACACTGATTTCCAATTGGCTCACTGTAATGCAAATGACATGTTTGAGCCTACCAAGACAAACAGCAGAACAGATTGCCCCATTGAACTAGTAAAACGTGCAATTCTGAGAGTTGTTTAGTGAGGAGAAACTTTATAAACTTTGTAAAACGCTGTCTATGACAAATTCTTAATTATTTGGCCCTTCTTGTAAACTCAGCAAACGTTATATATTCAATGTAATTATATTAATTAGACTTAAACTGCCTGAAGAACAACAATAGAGTTTAGGTCAAAATGTCAAAGTAAACTTATTGTAAGCGCAAAAACAAACCCACCTTCACCCGCAGCTGCAACAGTAATGACAGAAACACACCCCATAGCTATAGTAATGTAATACACAATGTATGTATTCTATGCATTCTTTGAATATGTAAACAAGAATTATTCTTCACACTTTTGGACATATAAATACTATTTGATGATGCACATCTGCACATTTGTTTGTATTCTGCTGTATGAAAACACCAGTCAGGCTGTGCTCTCAATATTTGCTCTAGTCATGTACAAATATTATTCTTTTCTGCAGCGACATCCCGATTTCTCCTCAGGCATCATTTAAATGTCATCCCATCTAATCCAGTGTACTGAGCTTTGCTAACAATGTCAGTGTTCAACACTTAAACAAAAAGATGTTAACTACTCCCTTTGTTTTTTAACGGAACTTTGCTGTCTATCAGTCCCATGCACGTATGCTACGTACGGTCTCGTCCAGGGTGAAGCGGTGGTAGATGCCGGCTGGCAGGGTGATCAGGTCCCCCTTGCTCATGGAGATGCGGATCCACCGGTCCTGCTTGTCCCTGACATCAAAGTAGGCCCGGCCGTCCAGGATGTAGCGGATCTCGTCGTCCAAGTGCAGGTGCTCCTTAAAGAACATCTTCAGCTGACAGACAGAAAGACAAAGAGGCCTGAATGATGGTTTTCTTATTTAATTATAAAATTACACACAGTTGAAGTAGTAGCTGTCCTAATGGTGTCATTGTCTTCACCACTGACTGAAGATGATGGCCATAAAGGTCATAAACCACTGTAGAGCATTAAACTAATTGTCCACAGCTCATAAACTTTTCTAACACAGTGGCAACAGTTCACTCTAGTTCAGTTTCAACAGTCCTCTCTAACAAAGTCACTTAGATTACCGTTTCCTCATAGTGAGGTAGTGTGTCCTTCTCCACAGCGACAATGTCCATATAGGAGTAGCCCTGCTCTTTACGGATCTGCTCCAGCTCTGGGTCTGTTTCATAGATATCAGCATTCAGCTGCAACAACAGGACAACAAGTAAACAAACACATCTGTGGAAAATATCTGTTAATAAGACCAGTTTAATAATGTATTACACATTGCAACAGCATGTTAGCGGTTAGCCCCTGTTTGTGCCTCTTTCATTAGTTTTATTATTCATTTCTGTTTTCAGTTTAGGTTAAATTGTTTAAAAACATTTGGTTTTAGTTTAGTTTCAATGTTAGTTATAATACAAGGGTATTTGTCAGGGCCAAGATTTAAGCAGTTCAGAATAGCTATAATAATACAAACAGAAATGTAGACATCCCAGTCTCAATAAACATATGCACCAATTTAATAGATTTCACCAAATTGACAAAGACTAAAACTAAAGACATTTCCTGCGGGCTTTAGTTACTTTTGTAAGTACACAAGTTACAGTTGCTTTAGTTTTTTACTAAAGTCAAGTTTTTATTTTGATTTCAGTTAAAATATATATATAAAAAAAATACTTTTTCACAACCAGTTGCCAGCAGTATGAAATTCACTGCCACAGAAAGAAAATGATACATTTCATTCATGTGCATTTCCACTGGTTATTATCTATGGAAGCCCATTTCTGCCAGTGTGATGGAAAAAAGGATTCTGTAAGTCTGCAAATATGAGAAACTTTCTCAGTATGTTGACGTCATTATTCTGAGATCCTAAGTAAATATTTAGAGAAAGTTTCTCATCATAATTACTCACAGTCTTTTGTTGCATTGGCAGGAATGGGCTTCCATAAATTACCCTAACAGTTTCCAACCATTACAACGTCAAACACAACAGTTGGAGAAGTATAACAAAAATGCCATGTGACTTATTAGTTGGAATTAGGGTCACAGTGGTTATATAAGCCCCCACAGTGTGTACGGAAGCTTTGTGGATTCATACAGTACAGACACATAACTCACTAACTTTAAGTTTAGTTACTCAGGAGTACCAGTGACTGTTTATCGGCCAACCTGACAGCTAGGTTAGCAGTGATGTGTGAAGCAGAGCTGTAACGTTCACGTTACCTTCCAGTGAAACACCCCGAGCTGGCGTAATTCTTCCATGGAAACGGGCTGATTTGGGGTCAGCCTATGCGGCTTTCTCTGGTCTTCGTCAGAGCTGTCCATGTACCAGGCTTCTATACTCATGATGAAGATAACCGCTGGACTCCTGAACGTACACTGAGACAAACTCGTGCTGCAGTCGCATGTCAAACTGTGTCACTGACTGCAGACACACTTCCTGTGTGCAATGTGACGTATGCTGCTTTCACGTGAGCAATTAGGAGCAGGTCTGCGACCAGCTGCATGTTTGTCATTGTTGATATTTACTGCTATTCAAATATAAACTTCGGTTGTAAACATTAGAAACACACACAGCTCTAATGTGATAGTTTTACTTTGAAGGCTGCCGCCGGAAGTGTTAATTTCTCCCGGTTTATCCTGACGCATGTGTGTACACTGGTGGGGCTGACTGCAATGGCGTGTGTATTGACAATCGTGAGTGAATACTGCTCTCTAGTGTTCACAGTGCGGAGCTACAACTCATCAGCGCTTCCGTGTTCAAATGAATAATGCTGTTGTGTATCGTTACATTACATCCGCGTTAGTTCTAATGTTTCTATATTCATTATTTATACATGTTTGGAGAGAAAGAGACGTTTGATAGCTGCCACCGGAACTTTGAACATGATATTGTCTGTCTTTACTGGTGGAGTTGATATATGTACTGGAGATATAACGTTATGTACTTTCATATGCTGTAGAAATGTTTTTAATTTAGTTTGCCTCGTTCTAAAAACTGCAAAGCTACATAAATAAGTTGTTTGACTTTGTTTTTTGTGACTGGTAGAAGGCATGAAAATTGATACCGTCCGACGAGGATGGGATTCGAAC